CAAGTCTGAAACCTGCTCTGTACTGAGAATACTTAGAAAATTGATACAGAGGAAAGGAGCAATTGTCATGGTGGCTTAAAAGATGAGTATGGCTATCATACTGAATGACAAATTAGGGCATTAGAAGGACAGGAGGAAATTGCAGAGCCACACAACTATTGAGGACAGTTTTAAAGAACTTGTAGAGATATGAGAGAAAGTCAAATCTTGGAGTGGAAGCTTAAGAGTGTGCTAAATCAATCAGTTACAAGAAACTCCAAAGTTTTGCGAGATTTTTAGACTCTTCTTCACAGGAAATAAAGGAATTGATAAAAAGAAACTATCTACATAAATCTCTAAAGGTTGTAGACATTACATTTAAATTCTATTATTTCCTTTAGCATTTTGGGTGCAACTTTAAATACCACAAATTTAATTTTGATTAAGATGTACTCTGCATAAAATGCTGTTGTACTATGATTTTCAAAATAAAGTTATTTAACATCTTTGTTAACCCCCAAATTTCAGAATCTATGCTTTAAATTAGAAAGAGACTTGAAGAAGAATCAACACGCACAATTTCAGTAACCTTGAGTATAGATAACTTTCTTTATGTTCATGTTCTAGATCTCTGAGCAAAAGTGGATGTGGAGAAAGGTAGAACTACGATAAATAGTGTGGGCAGGGAACAAACAGAATGTAAGGTATGAATTACCTGTCTTTCCACGCCTCCAAATATTCTACTGGACTTCTCTTTAATGGTTTTTTTGAGAGAAATAGTTGAAAGTGTGGACAGATACATGGATAAAGAAAAAAAATAGGCAAGCTGATTTAACAAAGAAATATGCTTTCTGCATATATGTACGTGAACTCTTACGTTTTTAAGATTGGTCTCACTTTAACTCAAAATGTGAAAATAAAATTTAAGATGGGAAAACACAAAGCAAACAATTATTTACTTTAGAAAAGTCTCTCATTTCATGAACGTTTTTTCTTGAGTTCCATTTAGCAAGCAACTTCAGGGCACTAAAAATGAGACAAGAGTTAAACATAATACTTTAGAGTTGTACGGAGATCTAGCCAAATTTCAAACCAGAAACAGTATTCGTGCTAAATGTGGGTGAGTAACAATGCTTTACAGTTCTTCTGGTCTAAGACTGTGGAAAAGAAAGCAATACAAATGTTATTTGCAAGTCTAATAACTGAGTACATGCATGTGCATGCATGTGAGTATGTATGTATGTAATTATGTATATACTAACTAAAGCTTAGCAGAGGGCATGGGGCAGGTAACTTCCTCTACCACCCCATACCAGTGACCAGGATGATGGCAGAAAAAGCAGCAGTTATCACAGATGTGTAGAGCTAGAGAACAAAGGAGACGCAAAGGGGGCAAACTATGCTGAATACCAGCAAAGTGAGAGACCACGGAGCTCCAACAACAGATCAACAGGCCACAAGAGTACGAGTGTGGACCAGATGAGTGTAAACCTCATGGCTTACTTAAGCTTTGTGGGACAGGGACATCATGACATGTGTGAGGACTGGACTTCCTACACTGGGACAGCCTGTGACTGGAGACTATGACCAACAATAGCAGTGCCTCTGCTCTAGCTATGAAATAAAGGAACTATAACATCTAACACATGGAGTTCTGCTAATTTTAACTGAGGACTCACAGAAAGTTCACCAAAATTCACTGTATCATTTATAAAGTCAAAAATGCAAGAATTAACGAAGAGGAAGTTTCTGGTCAACAACTGGTTTGACTGAAATAGAAGCTTCTCCCTAACCCCCGACATTACCCTATATCAAATCTGAGAAAATGTTTTGTAATATACACTGAAATTATTACCTATTTTCCTCTTATGAACTTAGATCCCTTTAACACAGCATGAAAATTTTTCCAGGCTTTATCCCATTTTGATATCTAATTAAAGCTGATTTAATGGAGAATTTATCAGTATGCCTTTGCCCTCATATTTCATTTGTAGATATGTACAGACAGTCATTTTTACCATGCACTGTATGTTGAAAGATCAGATATATCAGCATAATTTAAATATATCTGAGCCTATAAATTCCCACTGGACGCAAGACCACAAATGGAAACAAGAACAAGGACATGTTCAATGACATTAAAATGCAACTAATTTAAAACACAAAAGAAAAACATTTCTATGGAGTGCCTAGTAAATTTAAAGCACTCATTTCTACAGGATTTTAGTGAGCCCTAAAACTCAGTAACTTTCAAGAAAAAATTACACATTCAGAATATAGGGGGAAAGTATTTGTGGTTTATGAGGCTGCATACTAATCTGCACATTTGGGGCTTTTTTAACAGAAAGATCCCAGTCAAATTTCTTGTTTAATAAAAATCCCATGAAAATTAGGAAATGTCTTAAGTTAAAGTATTTTAATTAATTTTTATTGAGATTCTGTGTAAGCAAAAGTATTTTTAAATATTTATGATATTCTTCACTTAATTATCATTTATTGCTGGATTTATTTCAAGTAGAAATGAAGTTAAAATTATGGTCAAAATGGGTTTCTCTTCCCAAAGACTTCAGGGACTGCAATAAGAAACTCACCCAAAAGAAATTTAGAGCTAAATTCAAAATTACAACCAGCAAGTTCTTCAGGACAAGATTTGTTGAGAATGTTAAAGAATATTTGCCATGTCCTTCACACCCAACTGAGGCCACGAGTTGCCCCCCCCCCCCGCCCCCCAGAGCGGCTCTATGGCACCACCATGGCTCCAGAGGCACAAGGACTTAATTCAGAGCCTGGCAGCTTGTGGCAGAAATGTGAATGGAATATGCATTAAACTACAGCGCCATGCCCCCCGCCCACCGCGGGAGAGATAGGGTGTTTGTCTTTTCTGCCTTATTTAAAATATATATATATATATATATATATATATATATATATATCTCGATTTGCTCGAGCAGGCCCAGTAACATTGTGAGACTTGTTACTGTGTTTGGCATATCGAATACGTCATGAGTATCTTGCCAGGCTTTGCAGTGTGGGCAAGATATTCTCGGTAGCTTGCCGTGCTCTCTGAGAGGGGCAGAGGAATCGAACTCGGGTCAGCCGTGTGGGCCACGTGCAAGGCAAACGACCTACCCACTGTACTATCTCCAGTCCATACATATATGTACACACACAAAATTTAAAAACTGCCATTTTACCCAATTTCAAGCATACATTTTGTAGCATTAATCCAAGTAAAAGCTATAATTCATGTTTCAAAATACAGGTAGTAAAGAAGCCACAGATTAGGATGTATATCTGTCAGGAAGTTTGTGCAAGACTGAATATATATATTCAGTCTTGCACAAAGGGGATCAGTGGGATCAGTCCTCCTGTTCATCAATTTTGCTCAAGCAGGCCCAGTAACATCTCCATTTTTTTTTGAGACTTGTTGTTACTGTGTTTGGCATATTGAATACGTTGTGGATAACTTGCCAGACTTTGCGACACAGTTGAGATACTCTCTGTAGCTTGCTGGGCTCTCTGAGAGGGGCAGAGGAATCTAACCCGGCTCGGCCAGGCTGGCTGCGCCCAAGGCAAACATCCTACCACTGTGCTATCACTTGATAGCACAGTGGGTAGAGCGTTTACCTTGGGCGCAGCCAACACGGCCGACTGCAGTTCAATTCCTCCACCCCTCTCAGAGAGCCCGGCAAGCTACCGAGAGTATCTCGCCCACACGGGAAAGCCTGGCAAGCTACCTGTGACGTATTCAATTTGCCAAACACAGTAACAACAAAGTCTCATGATGGAGATGTTACTGGGTCTGCTCAACAAAATCAATGAACAATGGGAGGACAGTGACACTGACATATACAAATATATACTTTTTATTTATTTATTTTTTGCTTTTTGGGTCACACCTGACGTTGACAGGGGTTACTCCTGGCTCTGCACTCAGGAATTACTTCTGGTGGTGCTCAGGGAACCATATGAAATGCTGGGAATCGAACCTGGGTCAGCCGCGTGCAAGGCAAACACCCTACCCACTGTACTATCACTCCAGGCCCTCTTTCACCTTTCCCCCCAACCCCCACAGCACAGTGGCTGCTGCGTCAGAGCTTATTGGAAAGCCATGTATGAGCCGGCGGTGACAGGGCAACTGCAGCCTCATTGGAAGGGGGGTGAAACCAGCTTTTCCTTCTCGCCCAACCAAGGCCACGAGTTTCCCCCCATGAGCTGCTCTCTGGCACCAGCATGGCTCTAGAGGCAAAAGGACTTAATTTAGAGGCCGGCAGCTTGTGGCAGAAATGTGAATGGACTATGCGTTAAACTATGGTGCCATGCCCCTCCAGGAGGGAAAGGGCGTTTGTCTCTTCTACCTTTTTCCCTCCTGGCAGCATGGTGGCTGCTGCCTCAAAGCTTACTGGAAAGCCAGGTATGAGCCGGTGGTGACGGGGCAACTGCAGCCTCATGGGAAGGGGGGCGAAACCAGCTCGTCCTTGACGCCCAACTGAGGCCATGAGTTGCCCCCCACGAGTGGCTCTCTGGCATGGCCATGGCACCAGATGCACAGAAACTAATCTCGTAATTATCCAGCTCTTGGCAGAAATCCCTCCAGACTTAATTAGTAAACTATCAGAAATCCAAAATCATGCAGCCGTGATAGCGGCCGCGTGACATCATATGATTTTAATAACCAGCAATAGAAAACGAATTATTGCTTTTTTTCTCAGGGTGATAGAGGCCATGTAGCATCACCGTTACTCCGAGGAGAGACCAGTCAGTGGAGGGGTGCAAGAATACAGAGCAATAAAACCTTTAACTTGGAGAAGCAAAACCATGCTCCAAGGAAGCTTCATCAGCAGCATCACCAACAGCACCAGCAGCAGCAGCAACAGCAGCCGCCACCAATACCTACAAATGGGCAAGAAGCCAGCAGCCAAAATGAAGGCTTGGCTATTGACCTTAAGAATTTTAGAAAACCAGGAGAGAAGACCTTTACCCAGCATAGCTGGCTCTTTGTGGGCAATCTTCTTCCTGATATCACCGAGGAGGAAATGAGAAAACTATTTGAGAAATATGGGAAAGTTGGTGAAGTCTTCATTCATAAGGATAAGGGCTTTGGCTTTATTTGCTTGGAAACACGAACTCTAGCCGAGATTGCCAAAATGGGGCTGGACAACATGCCACTCCATGGCAAGCAGCTTCATGCGCGCTTTGCTTGTCATAGTGCATCCCTCTCAGTTCGAAACCTTCCTCAATATCTGTCCAGTGAACTGCAGGAGGAAGCCTTTTCTGTGTTTGGCCAAGTAGAAAGGGCTGTGATCATTGTGGATGATTGAGGAAGGCCCTCTGGAAAAGGCATTGTTGAATTCTCAGGGAAACCAGCTGCTCAGAAAGCTCTGGACAGATGTAGTGAAGGCTCTTTCCTGCTAACCACATTTCCAAGGCCTCTGACTGTAGAGCCCATGGACCAGTTAGATGATGAAGAGGGATTACCAGAAAAACTGGTTATTAAGAACTGGCAATTTCACAAAGAAAGAGAACAACCACCCAGATTTGCCCAGCCTGGCTCATCTGAGTATGAGTATGCCATGTGCTGGAAGGCACTGGTTGAGATGGAGAAACAGCAGCAAGGCCAGGTGGACCATAATATCGAGGAAGCTCGTGAGAAGCTGGAAATGGAGATGGAGGCTGCTCATCATCAGCACCAGGTCATGCTCATGAGGCAGGAGTTGATGAGGCGCCACGAAGAACTTCGAAGAATGGAAGAGCTCCATAATCAAGAAGTGCAAAAACGAAAGCAACTGGAGCTCAGGCAGGAGGAGGAGCGCAGGCACCGTGAGGAAGAGATGCAGAGACAACAGGAAGAAATGATGCCGCGACAACAGGAAGGATTCAAGGGAACCGTCCCTGATGCGGGAGAACAGGGGCTGCGGATGGGTCAGATGGCTATGGGAGGTGCTATGGGCATAAACAACAGAGGTGCCATGCCTCCTGCTCCTGTACCTGCTGGTACCCCTGCTCCTCCAGGACCTGCCACTATGATGCCAGTTGGAACCTTGGGATTGACCTCACCAACGACTGAGCGCTTTGGCCAGGCTGCTACAATGAAAGGAATTGGGGCAATTGGTGGAACCCCTTCTGCTTTCAACCGTGCAGCTACTGGAGCTGAATTTGCTCCAAACAAACGTTGCCCAGTAGTAATAAAATCGCATTGTCTAGTTTCCTAAAACCCTTAAAGAAAAGGACCCTTTTGGACTAGCCAGAATTCTACCCTGGAAAACTGTTAGGGATTTCTCCCAATAGTTGGGTCTTCCCTGCCTGTGGTACTCTATCTAGGGAGTACGCTGGAGGCAGAGGGCAAGGGAGGGGAGATTATTACAAATCAATGCTGTGTGGTATATTGTTTCTGTGTGGTGCATTCCTGAAGTCTCATGTGATTGTTGAGCCTAAGGGAACCATGACAAAATGGATCCAGTTAGAGCCCCATTTTTTCATTTCATTTCATTTCATCATCCTGTTATTCGTCGATTGCCTCGAGCAGGCCCCAGTAACGTCTCTTTCATCCTAGCCCTGAGATTATATTCAAGGCTATTTAGGAGAATGAGACCCATCATTGTTACTGGTATTTGGCATATTTGGTACGCCACGGGGAGTTTGCCAGACTCTGCCCTGTGGGCAGGCTACATTCGATAGCCTGCAAGTTTGTCCAAAGTAGGAATAAGACAATAAGATGTCATAAAAAAAAGTTCTGTTAAAAAAAAAAGTGCTGAGACCACTCTCCGCAAACATGAAGGTACTGGCAGAGGGACAAAGCCACGCGGGTTCCGGGGCCCCAGACCTCCAAGCCTACTCGAATTGGAGTCGAGCATCTTCCACCCAGATCCTCCAAATTCCAGTAGGCGGGGGTCACACCCACCACCTGGCCCCCTGGCGCCGTGTAATCCCATCAGCGGCCAAGACTCAGAGACTATAAAATCCAGATCCCGGACGAGAACAGTGCAGTCTTTTGCCCCCGCACCGGGGTGTCCCTCGCCGGGACCCCTTGGAGGGGAGCAGGTCGAGCTTTCCTCCCCGCCCCGACCAGGGCTATGGCAGCCGAAGACCTCCAGGACCAGCCACCACCATGCTGAGACCACTCTCCGCACACCTGAAGGTACTGGCAGAGGGACAAAGCCACGCGGGTTCCGGGGCCGAGACCTCCAAGCCTACTCGAATTGGAGTCGAGCATCTTCCACCCAGATCCTCCAAATTCCAGTAGGCGGGGGTCACACCCACCACCTGGCCCCCTGGCGCCGTGTAATCCCATCAGCGGCCAAGACTCAGAGACTATAAAATCCAGATCCCGGACGAGAAGAGTGCAGTCTCTGCCCCCGCGCCTGGGTGTTCCTTCCCGGAGTCCCTTGGAGGGGAGCGGGTTGAGCTTTCCTCCCCGCCCCGACCAGGGCTACGGCAGCCGAAGACCTCCAGGACCAGCCACCACCATGCTGAGACCACTCTCCGCACACATGAAGGTACTGGCAGAGGGACAAAGCCACGCGGGTTCCGGGGCCGAGACCTCCAAGCCTACTCGAATTGGAGTCGAGCATCTTCCACCCAGATCCTCCAAATTCCAGTAGGCGGGGGTCACACCCACCACCTGGCCCCCTGGCGCCGTGTAATCCCATCAGCGGCCAAGACTCAGAGACTATAATTAGAGCCCCATTACTCATGATCATTCCGTTTGTCCATCTTGTTCTATTTGCTTGTTCATACCCTGCCACCCCAAAGACACTGCCACATATACCACTAAAACCAAACATCCCCCATGACCTTAGCCCCATCGCTCCATCCACTCCCAGTTGGGAATTCCAGCAAATGTCCATAGAGGTCACAGACAACATATGTACTGGTTCTGTTGTATCCCATATATTTACCCTTTCATGTCTTAAGGAAGACATTTTCTCTTAGAGATTTTCATTTTAGTCTATCTTTAAAAAATCTTGTGTTAACTTGCCTTATTATTTTCTTGGGTAAGCAAAAACCCATGTGTCACCAATTTTGTCTTTGATGTTGCTCATCACAGCTTTTCTTGATAGGCCCAGTACAATCTTGGAAATAGGTTTGCTGTAGGCTAAAGGTCAGACAGTAGCTCTTCGGCTTGCCTGTCTTAGATAGTTATGCTGTTCATTTTTTATTAGTGTGCCATGTTTGATTTGTCCCTGATAATCTTTGGAGTTTTTCTGAGATATGAAGCAGTAAAACAGCATCACCTTATTAAAATGCATTTTAAACCTTTAAAAAAAAAGAAAACAAATTATTTCACAATGCCTTTTCAGCAGCTAACTGATTGTTGGGGGGAATTTCCAAACAATAATGGTGCATCTTTTGTTGAAATAATGAATGTAAGCAAAGTAGAGAGAGAGTTAAGTAGAAATCATCTGCCTCACAGGCATTGGGAGGGGTGGGAGGGGGGTACATTGGGGTTCTTGGTGGTGAAAAATAATTACTGGTGAAGGGGGGGTGTTCGATCATTGTATGACAGAGACTTAAACTTGAAAGCTTTGTAACTTTTCTCACAGGGATTCAATAAATAAATTTAAAAAAAAGAATATTTGCCATGCCTTGTCCTTCTTTTAAAAATTTATACAAAGAAGATAACATGTAGGCTGAACCCTTATACCTCAGAAGACCAGCGCACCTGGGATATTATTGATCAGTCTGCAACCTGCTCTTTCTAAACATGTCTATGTTTCTTTTTTCTATCTCTGTTGCTTTTTGTAAAGATTCAAGCAAAATAGTATTCTAGGATGTGCAGAGTTTGCCATTTAAGGAGCCATATGTAGTGCCAAGAAATCTACCTGATATAGTCGAAGTGACATCTGCAATTGTTTGTTCATTGCAGCACTCTTTACAATAGCCAGAATCTGGAAAAAACCTGAGTGCCCAAGAACAGATGACTGGTTAAAGAAACTTTGGTACATTTACACAATGGAGTACTATGTAGCTGTCAGAAAAGATGAAGTTATGAAATTTACATACAAGTGGTACTACATGGAAAGTATCATGTTAAGTGAAATGAGTCAGAAAGAGCAGGATAGACACAGAAAGATTGCATTCATCTGGGGAACATAAAGCAACAAAAAGGGAGAGTAACACCCAGGAATGGCTGAGATTAGTACCAGGAATTTTGCTCCATGAATGGAAGGCCAGCCACAGGCTCTAGGTGAAAAGGAAGCTCAGATAGAGAAGAGAGTACCAAATAAAGGGTGTTGTGAGGACCCTCCCAGGGTGGGAGAATCACGCTGAAAGTAGTCTATAGACCAAACATGATTGCCACTCAATGCCTCTCTTGCAAAACACAGTACCCAAAAGAAGAGAGAGAGAACAAGGGGGAATACCCTGCCACAGAGGCAGGATGGGACGGGGGGGGGGGGGATGAGGGGAGGGGGTGCTGGGACCCGTGGGGATGGATTACGGGCACTGGTGGAGGGATGGGCACTTGATCATTGTATAACTGAAACCCAAGCACAAAATTTGTGGGCCTATAAAAAAAAAATAAAAAAATAAAAAAAAAAGAAATCTACCTGATGTACTATCTCTCCAGCCCATAATACTTTTTTCATCAAGCATCTTGTTTCCAATGCTCCCCTCCAACAGCAGTGGAAACAGTCCAGTTACAAAAACAGTAACTTTTATGGCAATATAAAAAATATTTGCATAAAGCTCTGCCATATCAATGGGTCCAAATCCGAATCTCCTGAATAGCTTTACTCACCAAATTTCATCCTGTTCAGAGTACTTCCTATTCGGGGGTGAAGATGAGCAGGGGGAAAAAAAATGAGCAACTTCCAATCCAATCTCTGAGAGACTCCCAGAAGAGCTAACGATAAAGATTTGGCCTTATCACAGCAGGATCATAGTAAACCATCAGGGAAGACAAGTAGAAGCCCATGAATTTCAATGAACAAAAACAATAACACAGAAAAATTCAGCCAGCACCAACCTCCTCAGAGAATGACTTTAGTGACGATGTTTAATGAGCTTAAGGAAATGAAGGCACAGTTAGTCAACAATGCCCAAGAAAGCATGAGAGCCAAAATTAGAAAAGTACAATGAGAAACAACAGAAATGAAGGGAACAATCATAGGGAACATATAAACAAAATATATGGTCTGAGCAGCGAAATAACAGCAGCTGAGGAAAAGTTAGAGGAACTCCAAGATGAGATAGAAGAAAACTCTAGAAAACAATAAACTATGGGAAAAAAATCTGAAAAAATGAATAGCATTCCAGAGAACTATGAGATAAGTTCAATAGAAACAATGTAAGAATATAGTTGTGCTATTATTTTCAATATAGAACAGGAAATATTTTGTTTCCCAGAACAGGAAAGCAAATTTGATGAGTAACCATTAGTTAAAGAAGTCGTAGATAAGAATTTTCCAGATCAGGCCAGAGAGAAAATACAGTAGACAGCATGCTTGCTTTGCATGTGGCCAACCCAGGTTCAACACCCAGTGCCCTGGAAGTTATCTCTAAGTACAGAGTCAGAAATAAGCCCTGAGCACATCCAGAGGTAGCCTAAAAAAAAAACAAATAAAAAAGAATTTCCCAGAATTGAGGAATACAGGTACCTAGATCCAAAAGGCCCAAGGGTCTCAGTGAAAATAGACTGAAATAATTAGAGTCCAACATAAACTGCACTCAGAATTACAAAAGCCAAAGACAGAATACTGAGAGGAGCACACCCAAATAATAATTTACATACGAAGGGAAGCCCTTCTATCAAAGAGATTCTCTGAGCCAAAAGAGATAGAGGGATATAGTACAAAAACTAAATGAAATGAACAGGTCGCCAAGAATACTCCATTTTGCTAGAAAATCATAGAACTTCAGGAACAAGCAAGGCCTCAGGGAATTCATAGCCAAAGCATTAAAGGAACTTCTTTGAAACAAAAGACAAACTTGGCATTGAATATGACATATACTCAAAGCATTATGGATGACTTCTACTAGATTAAGGTTTGTTTATTCCTAGCTTGCTAGGAAATTTTCCATGACAAATTGATATTTCATTTATGTCGAATGCTCTATGTCTGATCAGGTGGTATTTTTAACACCCATAGAGATTTTTATTATAATCTTTTACTTATTATTGCAGATACTAAATCATTATCTCTATTTTCTCTAATATAAAGTCAATGTTCCCTTTCTTAGGAAAAAACACACTCTTTTACTTTTATAGACC